CAGGAACTTCCTCGTTCGTATGGCCTTTTGTTTCTTGACAACGGCAGTTGGTTCCTTCCCACTTCTTGCTAAACTCCCAGAACCAGCCTCAATGCGCCCCCCTCAGAGGCACCAGCACCAGCTGGGCAGAACTCAACCAAACCTGGCTCCTCCAGGCCCTTCCTGCGAACACCTGAGAAACCAGCAGCACCAGGAGACGCCCTCTCCTCAGAGAATCAGGGCGTAGTTCCTCCAGATCCCTTCAGACTTACAGGATCTGAGAACTCCAACCTTTCTTCCCTTTGTTTTTCGGCCCTAGATGAAGTAGCTGCTTAATGCAGTTATTACATCAAAGATACCCTTTTTGCTTGTCCAGCCCTCCAGTAAGGCTTTAAACTAATTCCCTTTACTGAGTTCACTTTTAAAATAGCTATGTGTGGTTTCTATTTTCCTGACTGGATCCTGATACATAGATAAACTGAGCTCACAAGAAAGTAAGGAAGTCCCAGGAAAAGCGACCTGACAGCATAGCTATCCTAGCAGTGTAAAGAATTTATAACCACCTCTTTGTCCAGGAGACAGATTCTGAGCCTACAAAGAGCAGCTGAGATCCCTATACAAAGGCTAAGACATTCAATAAAGACAGACCAGGGGAAAAAAATCTGTCCACAGGGAAATAAGGAAGATTGTCTTGCTCACCTAGTGAAGTGGGAGGAAAAAACCCTCCTAGGAATTCAAAACCATAGTCGTTTTGCGGCCTAAGCTCGTGGCCTGAAAATCTACAAGTAGAGAAAAATTACATACATTTTGGTCCCAGATTGGGACTAGCCATGAGTGCCCAACAGAAGCAACCACAAAGTTGCTCCAGAAGATATATGAATGGCCAATAAATATGTGAAAAGATGTTCAACATCATCAGTCATTAGGAAAATGCAAATTAAAACCACAGTGAGATACTACTACACCTCCATGAGAATGGCTAAAATTAAAAAGGCCGACCATACCAGGGTGCCTGAATGGCTCAGTCAGTTAAGCATCCAACTCTTGATTCCCCCTCAGGTCATGATCTCACGGTAGGTGGAACTGGGCCTCATGTCAGGTTCCATGCTAACGGCACAGAGCCTGCTTGGGATCCTCTCTCTCTCCACCCCTCCCCTACTTGCACTGTCTCAAATAAAATAAACTTAAAAAAAAAAGCCAACAATACCAAGTATTCGTAAGAATATGAAGCAAACAGAGCTCTCACATACTGCTTAAATGGTGTCACCACTTCAGAAAACTGGTAATTTCTTAAAAAATTAAACATATACCGCCATACAACCCAGCCATTCCACTCTGAAAAGGAAAGTATACAAACACTCAAAGATTTATACATGAATGCGCATAGCAATTTCATTTATAACATCCAAAACCTGGAAACAACTCAAATGTCCATGAACAGTGAATAAGCAAAATTACCTGATACAACCATATAACAGAATACTATTAACAAATTACTGATATATGCAACTAAATGGATAAATCTCACATGCATTATGCTATGTGAAAGGAACTAAGCCCAAAAATACAACTGTATGATTTAACTTATATAAAATTCTAGGAAACACAAATTAATCTACAATAGTTCCTGAGCCAAGGTGAAGGGAAACATGGACTGTAAAGAAGCACACAGAAATTTTGGGGAGTGATGGTACTGCTCTATAATTTGATTGTGGCAGCTTTTGATAAGTGTATATACATCTTTCAAAACTTTTCACTACAAATAAAGTTTACTGTACATAAATTATCCATAAGCAAAGTTGACTTAGACTGAGGGACAGAGCACAGTGGGGGAGGGGCAGAGCGGAAATCTGAAGCTGGCTCCAGGCTCTGAGCTGTCAGCAGAGCCCGACGCTGGATCGAACTCACCATGAGATCGTGACACTCAACCAACTGAGCCACCCAGCTGTCCCATGACCGCTAATTTTTTTATAAAACTTATGCAAGAGATGAAATCCCAGACTGAGGAATCACTATAAACCTCCAGTAGGATAAAATTAAATCCACACCATGTAATGAAACTGTAGAACACAAACAGCATGGGAAGATCTTTAAAACAGAGAAAAATGCAGGTTACCTAAAAAAATGATAGTTAAATTGTTAACACATTCTCAAAAGTAACAAAAAAAGCCAGAATTTCAGTAAAATAACATTTTCAACATGCTGAGAGAAAATATTTGGAAGCCTAGTACCCAGCTAAACTATCAAGACTAAAGAGTAAATAGGGGCGCCTGGGTGGCTTGGTCGGTTAAGCGTCCGACTTTGGCTCAAGTCATGATCTCACGGTCCATGGGTTCAAGCCCCGTGTCGGGCTCTGTGCTGACGGCTCGGAGCCTGGAGCCTGTTTCAGATTCTGTGTCTCCCTCTCTCTGTGACCCTCCCCCGTTCATGCTCTGTCTCTCTGTCTCAAAAATAAATAAGCGTTAAAAAAAAAAAGTAAATAAAGATGTTTCCCAGAATAATGTTTACCACTAACTGACCCTCACTGAAGAAAACATCTGAAAGATACATTCATCTCTTTAACAAAAATGGAACAAAGTGCAAGAAAGAATTGTGACAAAACAAATAGTAAACATATAACGGTAAAATGAAAAACTCACTGCAGCACAAAACATAATACTGTTGGGGCGCCTAGGTGGCTGAGCTGGTTAAGCACTACTTCGGCTCAGGTCATGATCTCACGGTTCATGAGTTCAAGCCCCACATCTGGCTCTGTGCTAACAGGTCAGAGCCTGAAGCCTGCTTTGGATCCTGTGTCTCCTCTCTCTGCACCTCCCCCGCCCCTCTTTCTCTCTCTCTCTCTCAAAAATAAAATAAACATTAAAAAAAAATTTAAAATAATGCTATTACAATACAGTAACAATTATTATTACTTAGAATTGTTCAATATTGAAATAGACTGCCTTTGGGAGTTGTCTCATTCTTGGAAGTGATCATTTTTGGGTTCAGACAACACCTTTTGAGAAGTTTGGTATACACTGGAGAAGAGACTTAAATAAATGACCCCCAATATAGCTACTGACCACAGGGTGTTATCAATTAGACACAGCTGTCAAAACATTCCCTGATCAGTTCTGCGTAGCCACCTGTGGCAGGGCTTGCCCCTATCCTAACAGTTCTAGAATTCAAGTATTAGTTCAAAGCATTCTTCTCGCTCCCATATTCCATAAGTAAAGAAGAACACTCTAGATAGAAATGTTTCTTATATGAGCTTTCAAGTAATATCTTCTAGCTTTGGGGAAGTACAGCTTTGGCTTTTGATTAAGATTAAGGAATTACAATTAGTCATCATTTGCTTAAACTTGGGCCAAGAAAAGAGTACTTTAGGGGCTTTTACAGACAAGTACGTGCTTCTTCCTCTAACGAGGAAATACCATACAGGAACAGAGAGGGAAGGAGTACATACACTAATCCCTGCTGACTGAAAGCTACCTTGCTTGATCTGAATGTTCCCTCCAGGTTCCCGTATATTCACAGCAGTAAAGATCTCCACAAGGTAGCCCCAATTCCCTTCCCAACAAGGTTTCTGCCCACCACAAAGTAACACACATGACGGTCCAGAACTTTGGAAAGACAGGACCAGGCAACAAACACCAGAGAGAGGAAAACACGGATCAAAGCAAGTATCACATTTTTAGAAGGCAGCCCCATTCCCCACAAAAAGAATACAGCAGTTCAAAAGCCACTAAATGAAAATGGGAAAGCCAGGCTCCTATTTCCTTTCAGTCCATGAAAGCTCATTCATTTCAAAGCATACGTTAATGGCCATGACATGTCTCACTCATAGCTGTCTAGGCATCAGGATAAAGGGACAAAAGACACTGTCTCCACCCAGAAGGACAAACGTGCAGACACTCTTCCAATGCAAGATGAGAAGTACTCTTCCAGAGGTAATGAAGACGGCGCACCCAGAGGAGGGAGCATCAAGCCAGTTAGGTTCTTTCCCACCCACAACCTTCACACATTTAGTCATAAATTTGTACTTTCTAAGATGTTTCCATGAAACAACCTACCTGATTTGACCCTAAGAACAACTCACACACAGCCCCCACACGGCCCCTCCCCCTCCCCCCCTCAAGCCAACCCTCAAACACCCCAGTACAGCCAACCACGCACTAGCTATGTAATCCTGGCCAAGAAAACGTTATAAAATACCGCCGGTTCCCTATCTCTAATAAAGTATAACAGGAAAATTAGAAATATTAAAAAGATGATCCATATAAAGGGTGTGGCACAGTGTCTGAAACGTAGTTGGTGCTCTGAAAACGTTTACTACCAATATTACTACTGCTATTGTTAACAATAATAGGCGGAGACTTTCCTGGGACCTCTCGCTCACAAGCCTTTCAGGAACAGGGACTACCCCGCACCCCGGTCGTCCTCAGACAAAATTCCACGGACACACCCCCAAACAGACCCTCCCACTATGCACGCCGGCACCTCCCCTCGGAACAGGCGCCCCTCCTCACACACCTCACCCCCGATAAATCTCCCCAGAGTAGGTTACGAAGGAGGCTCTCGGCTCGCACCCGCCTCTCCAGCACCCCCTCCAGCACCGCATCCCTGCGGGCGCCCAGACCGAACAGCAGCCGCGGGCCCGCGCCGGTTACCTGGCCGCGCGCTCCCGCAGCGCCTCACGCTCCCCCGGGATCGTCTTCGTTGCGGACTCGCGCCAGCGCTCCGAGCGCACAATTAGTTTAAACTATGGCCCCGCCCCCTCGCACCACCCTCTGATTGGCCCCTATCGGCTGGAGTTTCACGCAAGGGCACGCTTCAGGACCCGGGAAAAGGAAGTGTGAAGACCACTGGGAAGAGAGAAGCGGTGTCACTACTTCCGGAAGCCGGCCGCGACTTGAAAGCAAAGAAAACCACAAATCCCAGCACCTCCCGCGGCTTCGGAGGCCCGCCCCCCGGCGAACTACAACTCCCGGTAGGCATCAGGCAGCACTTTCGGCGCTTAGCCGAGTCGCGGTAGCGAAGGTAGTTACTATGGAGTTAGGCTGAGGAAGCAAGGGGTAGTGGGACGCCGAGCTGGAGGGAAAGCAACGGCGGGTGAGTCGGGCGGGAAAACAGGAAATTCACTCAAAGGAACAATTCGCTCTCTATAGAGAGGAGAGGAACACACAGAAAGATTAAGGAATTTCCTTTCTCGGGGACCTGAGATACCCCCGCACACACCCTTTACCCCTTTAACAACAAACAAGACACAACGTCCATATGGAATAGACCGGAGCGGGGAGGGGAGGAAAGGGCACCGAGATACATACCCATACAGATTTACAGATTTGGGGGCGCTTAAGAACATCCCCCATCACAAACCTAGGTCCCCGCTCCCCAATACGAATGCTTCAAATCCCTGACACTGGGAGATCTGAAACGCCCTCAGAAAATGGGTTGATTTTTCCTTTGATGAACTGAGACCTCTTCAGGACATAAGTAAACTACAGGCCCTAATACTGGAGCTGTATGAGGCTTGAAGTGTCTCTTTCCTTACAAGCAGGAAAATCCTAGAATACAGCCTCCTTCTGAGTCAGCAGCATCTTCCCACACAGAGTCATTGGGG